CTCGCGTTTCGCGAAACTTGACGGCCTGTAGTGATTATGATAATTTATATTTATATCACAATACTATAAGTAAATAATACTATAAATAAATAATAACTCCGTAATTAATTTTAGTTGTTTAGTTATAAAAATATTATCAATATCACAAAATATACAATTGCTAATAATTTAATGAAGATTATGGAAGTTAAATGACGAAATAACGAAATAACGAATGAAGAATTTCTACTATGGCTACAATATATATATAAGTGTCAGTAAACATTTCTATGGTGATAATAAAATTAATAGCTATTTTTAAATATTCTATTGTTTATATTAAATACACATCTCGACGGAACATAGATGTCGTTGAAAAACTAAATTCTTCGAAGTAGAGGTCGCTGCGGGTCCCGGTACCCGTAGCTCCATCACCCCTCTCTTTGCACGCTCACTTTTTTTTCCCCCGTTTGTCCGTCCAGAAGTTTGTTTGGGAACAAACGCGCAACGAGCTGCTCCTTTGGTCTCGTTGCCGATGCCGGAAGTTGAAAATGGAAGTGGAAGTTTGCGAACGAACCGTCCGTCCGCGTTCCACGGTTAGTTGCTGCAGGGATGGGGTAACGACGCGCGTCACTTTTCAGCTTTCGGTGGATCCTCTCTTCGTCTGCGATCGGCTCGCGAGTCAAAAGAGATCGCTTCTTGATTCGGCCGACGAATCGTCCAGCGATTGACTCTCATCAGAGAGAGTGTGAGAGAGGATCGAATTCACGTCGGCGATATGCAAACAGTTTGAGCGAAGATAGGAGCGAGGGGAAGGGCGGAGACAGACGGAGAGGCGCGCGCGGCCTTCCTCCAGGCGTGCAATTTACATGGATAATGCAAAGGGAAGGATCGTTCCTATCCTCTGACCCAATAAAACGCAACCGTCTCCGCCGATCCTGAGCGAGTAGTTAGAATTCAATTACGCGAATGGAGCCGAACTCGGCCGCAGGACGCGGCCACGGCCCCTCCAGGCGATGGAAATCTAATAATCAAACAATGACCGGTCGCGTTTCGCGGGTATCGCCCGCAACTTCTCGATCGAGCCGGAAGCTCGAACCGAGTACGGCGTGGTACCGAGTCGTGGTCTATCGAGCTGTCGCGAGAGAAGAGGAAACAAGCGAGGCGTGCTACGCCTGTATGCATGTATTTTATTAGTCGATGCAGGGGCATCGTACGAGTTACGTCCGGTCCATCGAACAGACAAATTACCGGAGTCGCCGCGGCTGGTGAAACCATGATCTACGCGTGTAGACGCGTAGACGCGGACACTCGCGTGAGATTGAAACGAAACGCTGGAACGAAATCGCAGACGGCATTATATTGTCGCCCGTTTTCTCCATTAACGCTGTCCCGACTGTTTACGAAAATGCCGGCCGATGAAAGGCGCGGCAGATAAAAGGGCGCGGCGGCGTGGCGGAAGCGGGGGGAGGGGGTCTCGAAAGGGTGGAGGGGGTCTCGACCGAGAAACAATGAGCGCGCTTCAATTATCGCGCTTGTAAAAAAATCCGCTTATATCCTCGGCGAAACCGAGTATCGACCCTCCCACCCCCTCCTCTCCCCCTCCCCTCCCCTCCCCCTTTCCGCCACTTCCATCCGCAACTTTGGCAAATAGCTTTCCCGCGGGGATTTTAGGAAAATCTGGAACACGGCCAATGCTGTTCCATCGCGTTACATCGTTCCCTGCCTGAGTTTATATTCCCTCCCTTTCTTCCTACCTATTTTCGCGTTTATTCGTTTGCCAATGCAACGAGTTACGCGCCGACCTGAAACAACTTTCCCCGTCCTCGTCGCTCTCGTTCACCGCCGGCCTCGTCCATGAAAGAGGAGGAGGAGGAGGAGGAGGGGGAGGTTTCCTCTCTCCTTGAGCGATTTTCTCAAAGCTCGTCCGATCCCTTCGAAAAGTTTCGTCGTTAAGCGCGTCCGAATCTCGAGAACCAGCAACCGAACCGAACCGAACGGAAACGACTTTCTTTCTTTCTTTCTTTCTTTCCCTGTCTCGTCCGAGATAGATGCACAGAGTGTCCATAAAGTCTTTTTACAATTTAAAAAATTTGGTACAGATAAGTGGAAATTGTTACAAAATGAGACGTATATATTTGAGTTTTTTCTTTTTTTTTTTTTGCCTCGTTTAATACACCTCTATATGGGCACCGTTTAGTTGCACGAAGCACATGAAGACGTTACTCGATTTCTTCCACGATCGATGTTCTCCTCGGATGTTCTTGGTCGTCCACTCATCCCTTCGTCGAACACTGTCCCTGTCTTCATAAATTTCTCGTGCCATGCACGAATTGGTGGACCTGACGGTGGATCTCTTCCATACTTGGTTCTGAAGTTTCGCTAAGTCTGCAGATCCGATTTGGTTTCAATAAGCCATGATACACACTGTGCCTGCTCTTGAGAAGTAGCCATTTCGTAAGGGGTTCATTCTTATTCATTAACAGGGTAGCTGAAATGCAATGTGATAAAAACCTTGATAACCACTGACATACATAGAACAAATCTGATAAAGATATCTCATCAATTGCCTTCGTAATAAATTTTTGATATTGTAAAGAGACTCTATGGACACCCACATGGGAGGTTATGTTAAAGATACCGTGTATCGAACAAAGGTACGGGACATCACTAGTCTAAAGCAGAGGATCACATGATGCCATTGCCACCATTGATGAGGGTATGCTGCAGCGAACGTAACAAGAAATCGAGAACCGTCTTGACGTGCTTCGTGCAACTTAACGGTGCCCGATATAGAGGTGGTATTAAACGAGGCAAAAAAGAAAACTTGAATATTTACCTCTCATTTTGTAACAATTTCCACTTATCTGTCTTTTCATTTGCCTTTGTAATAAATTTTTGAAATTGTAAAGAGACTTTATGGACGCCCTGTATATATACGTATATGTCTTCATGCACGTCACACTGTCTTTGCATTCTTGTCGCTCGCAAAGCATATTTCGTGTTTCACGGTGAAACGAAAGCTCTGTTGGCGTACGAAAGAGAGAGAGAGAGAGGACGGAGTATAGGAAGGGAATATCGTCAGAGTCTGGCGAGCGCGATCTCTTACCTCGTTTCGTTCGTCCCGGTGCTCGAGGGAACGACGTGCAGGGCGTGAGGACAATGCCGGCTTCGTATTTCGGAGCGTTCTCTCTCTCTCTCTCTCTCTCTCTCTTTCTCTCTGCCAATGGATTCTGCTGACTCACGCCGCCCATTCAGCCTTCGTAAGACAACGACACGGGCCAAGGGGTTTTAAAGTTGCATTATTAATCGGGACAGACGACGGGGCAACGAGCTTGAGGGTTTTGGGGTGGCAGTTTTGTTTTCGAGCCTGGCCGTGCACGCTCCGATGCGTGGGCGTTCGTTTAATTATCGAATGTAAATAGGTTCGTTAGGGAAAGGTTTTTCAGCTGGTGCCTCCCCTACATGTCCTCTGGATGCTCTCGAGACCGAAATACCTCTCGCCCTCGAAATTCCACCATTCCGTCTTCGCGCGCGCCACGATTTTGCAAACTTTCCAGATCGTAAACGATTCGTCGACGAAGCGTGGAGTCGTACCATTTGCGAATGTGTCTATTTTGTAAAATATTTACATTTTTTTTTTTACTTTTTCGTAGATACAGAAATTATTGTAGAATTTAGAGTAATTTAGAACAATAGTGGCCGATACAATTATCCACAATCCCTGGTCAATCGTAATTTGTCACAACACGACGGGTTTTATATTAACGACATATTCACACGCCCTTTTCTTTTTCCAGATCAATGAAAAACAGCGAACGCCGAATGTTCCCGTCAAGCGTCGCGAAAATCTTACATAATTTTTACACGTATCGTTCATAACCTGGAAGTGTGTGCGCGCGGAACGGAAAGTTGGGCGATAAGATCGATGGATCGTTGGACGCGGAGAGAGAGAAAGAGAGAGAGAGAGAGAAGAAGTGAACACGGACGATTCACGGATGTGGACACGTAGCGGTCGTAACGCACGAACGAACAACCGAAACGCGGCTCGTGGAGTTCGCAGAGAGATTTATGGAAGCGCGTGCGCGGTCCCCGATCCACACATGGACCGCGAATAGAAGCATCCCCCTTGTTTTCCATGGCACATCGTCTTGTAACGCGTGTCCTGTCGCGTCGTACTGCGTCACGGCACGTTGTTTCTCCTCGAAGGAAGATGGCCTGCGCGAAGGAAGGGAGAACGTGTCGTCTTCTTCAGGAAGAAAGAACGTAAGAAGGAGAGGAAAGGCGAAGAAAAGGAAAGGAAAGGAGAGGAAAGAAATCGAATGGTTGCGGGAGGAATTGGAGCATCGAAAGGAAGAGGAGAACGGCGGGAAAGGGAAGAACGGAAGGAAGGAAGGAAGGAAGGAAGGAAGGAAGGAAGGAAGGAAGGAAGGAAGGAAGGGACGCGTGCCAGAGTTAGAGAAGAGAAGGAAACGGAATAGAACAGAGAATAGGAATAGAATAGAACAGAACAGAACAGAACAGAACAGAACGGAACGGAACGGAACGGTAAGCCAGGAAGGGACGGATAAGAGGGTTGGGTGGGGGCATGGGGGTTGGTGGTGAGAGTTCGGTGGTGGCAGTCGGTCGACGGGCGGCGAGTTCTCAGTCTGTCCTGCGCCGTCGAAACGAAGGAAGCGCCGCTCGTCGTCGAGCGCGACGTCGAGCGCGACGAGCCGACGAGCCCGTGCCCCTCTTAGTTCGCGTTCGCTCGCCGTCTCGGGCGTCACATTTTCTCCTTTTGTTTCGATTGCGCGAACGCGCGCGATCCTCGCTTTCCTCTTCCTCTTTTCCTCTCCCAGTCGCCTTCCCGAGTCGCCCCGAGTCGAGACCGAATTCGACTCTCACGACCTCGTCCAAGTGTCGAAATCTCGTCACACTTTCGACAATTCTCTCTCTCTCTCTCTCTCTCGGACTCTCTTTTCGTCCATTCTTTCTCTCTCTCTTTCTCTCTCTCTCTCTCTCTCTCTCTTTCTCTTTCTGTCTGTCTCTCCTTTTTCTTTCTTCGTTTCTCTCTCTGTCTCTGTCTCTCCCTCCTCCACTCTTTCTTCGCGCTCAACGTTTTCTCTCTACATCACGATCCGCCTTCTTCTTTCTCCTCGCTTTCTCCCAGTTTCGTACGCACTCTCCGTCTCCTCCGTATTTCCCTGCTCATTTCCCATGACTCGTGCCATTCTACGCGACCGCCGAGTCGACGCCGCTGGAGCGAATGTTCGAGGCTGAATTTTCCCCTCCCCGAAGGAAAAACCGTGAACGCGGCAATGTTGGATTTTTTGCTACGGACTTGATCCAGGACCGTGCATCGACCACCCTCGTGCCGAGGTAGGTTCAAACGTTTACGTATACGTATACGCTTCGCTGGGAAATATGGTTCGTGGCTTTTTGATATTGTACGATGAACGCGTTTACGGACGGAGCGTCGAGAATCGACAGTTGATCCTTGACCATTGACCCAGCCGAGTTACTCCCGTTGTTCTTAGCTTAGGTCGATTACCAATCTAGGCGACTAGACTTTGCGATAATCGCTGAAATCGTACCGTGAGATAAGCCGTTCTCTGCGTATTTAGTTTTACACATTGTCCGAGATTCTCTCGCAGTTTTTCGTGAACAGTTTTGTGCGTTTCTTCTTTTCCTCTCTCTCTCTCTCTCTCTCTCTCTCTCTTCGCGTGTCGATGTTCGTTTCACGATGGATTCACGTCCGTTTTCTCACGTTCAAATCGTTCACAACGATCGACGGAATCGCTCGAAGCTTGCCGTTCAATTATTAACGAGGCTCAATTCATTGACGTTTCTCTGACGCGATTTTAAAGCGCGTTTTTTTCCCTTCTTTTTTTCCTTTTTCAGAACGATCGTAATTACGCGAAATCGTTCGCCCACCGAGTGAAACGCCACCGCGATTTGTATCCCGCTCGGCTTTCGTACGCGGAATTTCGCACGCGTAAAAATTCCATCGTTTTTCGTCTGACGCGTGCACACAGCACGCCTTGAACCGAATCTCGTTTCCAAGTTGTCCGAATTGAATTCTTAAATTATCCGTCTACTTATTGGTCTACTTTTACCAATTTGACAATTGTTCAATTGACAATTCGTAGTTCAACGACTAATAGAGATGCTCGCCAAGAAGTCGAGTCCACCCTCGCGCGAGACGAGAGGATTTTACAAACTGGTAATCGCGTAAGAGGGGGCATCAAGATGACGGTCACGTAACGCGCGCGAAAGAGACCGACGTTCGCCGGGGGAATTCGGCACGGTTTTACTGCTGTCGCGTGCAATGAACATTTTTCCACGGCGCGGCGCAGTGTCGCGTTTACGTAGCCCCGCAGCGGGATTGAAAATTTAAAAAGATCGGCGGACCGGAGAATCCAGAGAGCTCGGCTGCTCGCGGAATAAAACCGCATCGGTTCGATACCGATCCGCGATTCGATTTCTGGACCAGCGCTGCGGATCGGTCCAGGAACCGAGCCGAGTTTCCCCTCCGATTTCCCGGGGAGTTTCGGCGAACCTGCGGTTTCCATTTCGCCGCATTCCGCCCCGCTCTGTCTCTCCGGCGCGGTGCATCGCCACGCCAGCCAATCGGTCATCCTCTATCGAGAGCTCCGTATATAAAACACTCGGATAGTTTTTGCGGTCGTTAAACATCCGGATCGTCGTTTCGCGCCGTGTACACGGTTTTTCGCAAATTTTCGCGAGGTCGAGCCGAGGAGGACTGGCGGGCTAAATGCAAAAACAGGGAAAAAGAGATCGAGAGATGAAAAGAGATAAAGATTATCAAGTGATCACGGAGGCAGTCTCAATTAGCAAACGATGGGCTAAAAGTTTTTTCCTCGTCTATTTTTTTTTTTTTTTTCAATAAAACATCAAAATAGAATGAGGAACCTATTTTATCAAACATGAATATTAAAGAGAAAATTTTATCAGACATGTAACGAAAAAGTTACGGATTTATTTCAGTAGGAAGTGACTTTTGGTCCAGCCTGTAGTCTGCGTCTCGTCAATAAAGAACAATAGTTTATTGTATCGAAGTGGAATTCATCACAGCCCTGTGCACGGGTTTTCGCTACAATTAAAGTTATGTTTATATAACCTTAATTGCAACGAGCCGTACGCAACTTTGTTGTGTTTATATAATTAAATAATGTTCCATTATTGAATATCTATTAACACTAGAATCACAAAAGTAGTCGAAACAAACTAATTTATATGATGATTTTTCAACGGGAATTTTGTACAATCATAACAGTATATTTTTAGATACTGGAATATATATTTTTAACAAAGCATATTAATAGAAGCTTGCGTCTTCTTTGTCGCGTCGGTTACTGTAACCTTGCACTTTAATTTCTTTCCCACAAATATTATACTTTATACTTTATTTAGTTCGTGTTCGAACAAACATTTTTCGATGCTCCTATGAATCGGTCTCGCGCTTAAAAAACGCGCCGGTCTTTAAACGGAACGCGTTGTTACACTTTCAAACGTGTACAACGCGGAAGTGAATTTATTACTTCTTATTCTCGCCTCTCTCAATTCAGCTTTCAGTTTTCAAATTTAATCGGTGTCTCTCCCTCTGTATCGCGAGAAAGCTGCGAACTGTGTATATAAGTGCTCGGAGTACGTCGCCAAGTTAGTCGCGAGGGAGTAGACGAGAGAGAGAGAGAGAGAGAGAGAGAGCAAGGGAAAAAGGAAAAGAAATAAAAGTCGCGAGGTACTAGGCAGCAGGCGCTAAGCTCCATCCTTGAACTGGGTCGCCTAGCGTATCCTGCAAATATCGCTGCTTCGCCGACGACAAATACTACGTCGGCTCCTCTCATGAATTGCAAATTCGCGCGTGTAGTTTCCTTTTCTCTCTCTCTCTCTCTCTCTCTCTCTCTCATTCTCTCTTTTTCTCGTGCTCGCATTGCCGCGTGGTCGAATTTCTCTTCCGAAATTTCTCGTAGAAAACAATGTAAATACAATGTGTCTGAACGCAATAAAATTATTAAGCCGATCTATCGGTCCGAGCGTGTCGCTACAAAATCACTTTTCCGCTCGTTGTCACGTCCGTGTTCTCTTCGTCGATTAATTTCACGGAGAGTGTGTCGGTCGCCATCGATCGGACGATCGATTTCATCGGTTTCCTCGACTTCCGTTTGGTAGAAGATACGACCGGATGGCTGGTTTAGAGATTACCGAGGTAATCGAATCCCATCGCGCGACGTTCTTTCGTACAGGAGCACGAGGATATCGCTTCCGGGCGTACGCTCGTTCCTTCTACTAGGGTTTCACTCTGAAATGGAGATTATTCGTGCACGATGCATCTCGAACTCTTTGTCCTTAAATTTTCCTCAGGGAAAAGCGCGTTTTCAATCAGTCGATTAATTAAATTAACCCTTTGCACTCCTATGCCATGCTGATTTGTACTAATTTACTCTGAAACACGTGCATACTGGCAACATGAAATAACTGTAAAACACCATGTGGCATTCGAGCAATAGTTTGCCAAGTTTTGTTAGTTTATCGGTACGGTTTGTGGTCACGAGCAATTCCGTGCACGGAATCTTTCTCTCTTTACTCTAATTCATTTCTTTTATTTATTTTCCTCTTTATTTCAATTCTAATTGTATTTACTACGCAATAACATTTTTAATTCTTAATTTATTTATTTCCCTCTTTGTTTCAATTCATTCGTTATTGACTTTCCTAAAAATAAATACAAGTCTACGCCCAACAACGCTACAATAAATAAATCGAGTGCAAAGAAAGTTTTCAGAAATTCGCGCAGAAGTTCGCTTACGATTTGACACGAGTGTCGATTTTTTTTCCCCCGCAGGTCGTGTGCGAGAAACCCGCGAGGAACATCGGCGATTCGAAGGGCAGTGACGAGAAATTTCAGTAACGGCGGAACGAGGTGGCGACGGAGAAGCGGTCTCGCGTGGCAGACGAGGTGGCAATGATCGCGCCGACGGGGAGACTGCGTCAATGTCAACGAAAGTATACGTCCTAAAGTATTCGTCGAGGAAACGAAGTGCCAAAGAACTGTGGAGAATTAGCCGTAGAAAGGTGGAAAGACGCCGGGGGACGGAGAGGCCGACCGACGAAGAGGGAAACGGTGAATCGGGTGAAGGTGGGGCCAAGAGGGGAGGAGTGCAGCGCGAAGAGGATCAAAAAGAAGAAGGAAAGAAGGAAGAAGGAGGAAGAGGTGGAGGGAGGAAGAATGAGAAACAACGTCCCGCGAGAGAAAGAAGGATCGCGAAGGTAGGGCGGAAGACGTGGGGATCGGGCTGGATCCGGGTCGATCGGTGGTGGTGATGGTCTCGGGGTGGTGCCCGTGCGTGCCGATCGGCCGCCGGGAATCACCGGCCCAGCAGCAGTCGGCAGCCTCCTCGTCGAGGAGCTTCGGAGGAACCGACGGTGCGCCGTTCACCGTCAGCGCGGCCACCGATCGCGCAGAGATGGTCCAGATGTTTTATTACGAGAACCGCGGCAAATGCTGCAAGAAGCTTCTCCGATACAACGGGTACCCGAACAAGGTAAGGTAGTTGACGTTCCCCTTCTTACGATCTCTCTTTTCCATCCGCGTTTCGAATCCACGACCTGGACGTACTGTTCCACTTTGAGCACCAAGCTTTTCAACCTTGGTCACTTTCGCGAAACGTCTCTTTGACGATTTGATTTGGTTCGAAGAGCTTCTCGAAAGGATTCTCGAATTCTCTCGAGGAAAGATCCGTTCCAAGTTCACGAGGTGAAGTAGAGGAACAGAGAGAGAGAGAGAGAGAGAGAGAGAGAAAGGAAGGTTCCAAGTATCCGAAAGCCCCTGGGGAAATAAATCGATTCGCTATCTGAATAGCCATTATGCGGACGTGGCTTGGAGGCAAGGCACGGAGGCCGGGAAGGTTGGTAGGTTGGGACGTTGGCTCATCGGCAGCGGCGGCCAGAGAGAGCGTACGCTCTCTCGGAGAACTCGGCGAAGGAGGCGAAAGGGCGAAAAAGAGAGAAGACCGGGTGGAGTAAAGAGGATAGCCGATCTTCCTTAGCCGCGTTGCTTCTGGAACTGGGCTAATGTTTCGGAGTTTCAGAACTCGTATCGGCCGGAATTTTCTTTCAATAACCAAGTTATTATTCATCGCGTCCATTTATTACCTCCCCCCCCCTCTCGCCCCCCGCGCCATTCTATCCTCTCTCGTACTCTCACCTCCCGGAATCCACGTTTCGCGCACACAAACGGCGAAACGTGCACACTGACGGGTGTTCTTTCCGTTTCGAATCGGCGAATCGAAACAGGGTGATAGTACGTACTCCGATCGTCCGTGAAATATCGCGTCTGACGAAAAAAAGCTTACGTTCGTAGAGTTTATCGCGACAGCTGTTTATCCCTCGGCCGTCCGCCGAGAACTTCTTCCTCGCCTCACGTATACACGTGTATCGCGACAGAAAGTGTAACGTTCGTGCGACAACGAACACGCAACGTGGATGAAATCGCGAGACAACCGGATAATTCGTTCCCGTGTCTGCTGGATCCCGTAATCCGGCTGGATAGTCATTCTTCCCGGCCGAATCTTTTGAATATGGATGAGTATGATTTCCCTGGCTAATTTCGTTATCTGCATATTAAAGACCCTCTTAAACAGAAATGTCTCGCGTCTTTGCTTTTCAACCCGAGAGAGAAAGAGAGCAAGAGAGACGGTCTTTTTTTGAATAGCGATTGCGAAAAAATTCTATTCGAATTTTTCCTCCCCCAAAAAAAAGATGAAAGAAAGAAATCCGCACGTGACGCGTCCATTGTCTCCCGTCTCGGTCGTTGGACGTTTCATTTTGCGTTGCTCTCGCTGCGAGAGGGGATGGTGATGGTCCACGGTGGAGAGACGCGAACGCGTACAGCACCGCGTCGGCAGTCTCGATAAAAAGGGGTGGGCATTGTCTAGCTGGATGAATGGCTTAGGCGGTGACCTCTCAGTGACTTTCAGTGTCGCAGACGGTTCTTTATGCCGGCGGTTTACGATTAAAGATATCTCGGATGAAAGGGGGTTTCGTTTCCTCCTTTCCCTTTTCACGCGAGTTAAAGAGTCACAGTGGCGGTGCCTTTCTAAAAAGGAGAGAGAGAAAGAGAGAGAGAAAAGAAAAAGAAAAGGGAGCAAAGGAGGAAAGAATCGCGAGACGTTGCCCGTACCATATCTACCTCGCGTTTAATTCCGAAAATCGGGGAAAATCGACCGATCTCGAGCACCGTTCTCGGTAACGAGAAAATCGTCCATCAGCTCGCTATCGTTTTTTGTCGCCCAGTTTTTGTCGCCCTGGCGCTTGTCGTGCATCGCTTCGAAAACCTGGGCCCCGGTTCCGTTTCGCTTTGCCGCAAACGATCACGCGGATGATAAACGACCGACGAGCTTCAGGGCTTGCAGTTTCATCCGGGCGGAGTTTATTTCGTCCGAGACAACGGGCGGGAATGGGAGAATGAAACGCTGCGTCCGTGAAATGTGTCCTCCTCGTTCCTCGTATCGACTTCTCGTCGAGATCCGTCGGGATCCTGTTGAAACAAACGAACCGTTACCATACGAAATATCACCCGTCCTTATATAATCTGATAAGATTACGGACAAAGATTCTGTCGGCGTTTGATTCGATTTCGAGGTAGAAAATTGCCACGTCGGAAGGTCGATATCCCAATTACGTGTTACGTGCACGCGTGTGCGCGAAAAAGAGGGGAAATACCGGATTCGATTGCGGTATCGGGATCGATGGAATCGGACCAGAGTCCGGAGAGAGAGAGAGAGAGAGAGAGCCAAGGTTTGTTCTCGAGCCAAGGGACGTTGGAAAGCTCCGATAACGGATGAACCATCCGTATGAAGAGGAATTCACCCACTGGGTGAAAAACCAGCATCGCCTAGAAGAAACGATTCTCGATTCTTTTCTTCGCGTAGGATAGCGCGGATTAGGTCGGAAGCCGAATAGAGTTTCTACGTATTCTATTGTAACATCCTTTTTGACGAAGCCGCGAATCGGCTCGATTTCTTTCTTTCATCCGGGGGTAATATCGCGGGAGAGTTAAGGTAGGCAATTGTAGGTAGGCGAAGGAAAAGCGCGAAGATGAATCTGCGGACGAATTACATTCACATCAACCGGTGTGCGTGCGTCGGTCTCGCGCATGATCGATCGCGACGGGGGACTCGACGACGAGACAAAGCACGCGACCTGATGATATCCGCTGTGACGAAATAAAGCGCGCGCTACTAGTACGATTAGACGAAGCGGTACGAAGGAGACGCGAGAGAGAGAGAGAGAGCCTCGATCAGTGAGGTAACGATATGAGGAGAGACGCGCGATGGAAGGAGGCCGGACAAGGGTAGAGAGGAGAACTGGAAGCGTAGTGTGGCAGGAGCAGGAACGGCAACCGAATGACTACGGCGCCGTGGTGACGGAAGGATGGGGATGGGAATAGGAATGGGGCTGGGGGGCGGAGAGTCAAGGGGCCAGGGGTTGCAGGAAGGCAGAGAGAGGAGCTGGATTCAGAGGTTAGGACGGCGGGAGGAACGGAGATGGGCGACGAGGAAAGGATGTGGGGCGAGGAAACGGGGTACTGGCGAGGTGGTAGGACGGTATGGGGCTCCAGGAGGGAGTGAGTGAGTGAGTGAGTGAGAGAGAGAGAGAGAGAGAGAGAGAGAGAGAGAGAGGGAGAGAGGGAGAGTTGGGGCAGCAGGGTGAATCGCGGAAAAGAGGCAAGAGGGTGGATATTCCAGGCTGCACCCCGTGGCTGTCCCAGCGCATTGCCATGGCAACCGACCCTGAAACACCCTGCGGCCGTCGCACCATCGGAGCTTTGCTTTCCGATGATAGTAATAATGTATCCTCGCTTTCGTTGATGTAGGTCGCAGGACGTTACCGCGTTACCAACGCGAGGCGGGACGGGGCTAGATCTTTTTTTTCTCTCCTCATCGACGTCCTAGAGAGATTTCCACCGCGGTCACGATTCGCGATTACTTCTCACCGCCGCGTTTCTACTCTTCCCCTCTTCCTCCTTCCTTCGTTCTACATTTCCACGTTCCGCTGCCTCCGCCTCCTCTCCTTTCTTTCCCAAGGAGCTTCTCCAAGGAGTTTCTCCCAGGTACCTTTTTCTGGGATGGGAATTTTCAGATTTTTTCTTTTCTTTTTCTTTTTTTTTCGCGACCGACGATCGTCGATGCTATCACGGCTGAAAAGAGAGAAAGAAACGCGGATATTCCATCGGGACGTCGCGTCTCGCGTGAGAAACACAGCGAAAACGGAACGGAGAGAGGGAGAGAGAAGAGAGAGAGAGAGAGAAAAGGAGAAAACGAAGTTGGTCGCGAAACACGACGTGTTTGTCGATGCGTCGCCAGCGAGTGGCGTCGGCGTTTTTAATCGGCGCCACTTGTTTCTAACGACCCTCCTTTGTTTAAGTCCCTGCAGCGCAGCGCGCTTCAACCCTACCGGGGTATTTCCCATCCTCCGTTTCCGTCGCCCGTCTACTCTATCCCACAACCCGTTTCCTGTCACCCGTCACCCGTCACCCGTTATCTACTACTATCCACCGTTCGTGCCTCTCTTTTCACACCCATTCCCTCTCCCAACCACTGGTACAATCGCCGATCGTTCAACGATCGAATCGCCACCAAAAAAAAAGAAAGAAAAAAAAAAAAAAACGAATCCTATCTCGAAACTAAACTCTGCCTTTTCCCCTCGATTTCTCTTTCCGAGATCTCGCGAGAGATCGAACGATATACCGCGTCGTGACCACGCGGTAGCGCGCGAGTTGATCCTCGGTCGGTCGTCTCGTTGTCACCTGATGGCCTCTAACCAGCGGTTTTCTCTTTCTTTCTTTCTTTCTTTCCTTCCTTTTTGCCCATCGGTACACGGCCCATCAAAGTCGAATCGCACGATTTTAGTTTAGCTGGCCGAGAGCTGGCCGTCTGAAACGTAATTTCAACGCTAACGAGTCGACGATGCGCCGCTTAATTGCTTCACGGCACTGCGAGCTTCGCTGCTCGATACGATCAACGAAAGATGGCTTGTTAACCTGCGGGACTCGCGTCGAATTCACAATCGAATTCGACCGGTCGAATCCCGGGGATCGGGCAGATGGGAAATGAATTCGTTGGATCGTTTAGGAACACGCGGCGAGGATAGTAATGACGGACGCTAAGGGGGTGAATGCTGGAGCGACTGCGCGAAAGGTAGACTAGTAGCGAGTAGAAGGATTTTCAACAGTGTCGGGCCTTTTTGTATCCTTCCCGATCGCGTGATTAGGGAGACTGGTCATTTTCGGGACAAAATGTGTCGTTGGACAGAGCAAGTGATTTTTTCCGCAATTACAGCAAATCCCTAGTTAACTGTCCGCAATTTTCCCCCGGTTAAGCGTCTGTCGCTTGTCCTTACCAATTTTGTTGAAATTGGGACTACTCCCGCTCTATCTTTCGATGCCAGTTCGCAGAATACACCACCTCTCTTAAGCATCCGTTTTCGGTCTTACGAGCAGGGCTGCGAATGAAACTGTTAAAATTTTCTGATATAACATATT